TTCATCCCATTTCGCGACTTTGAACGGGGAACGAAGGTAAGTTCAGCAACGATTTTTTCCAAACTAATGGCTATTTCATTTATCTAAACGGGTTTTATATATCTAGAGGTATTTTAGTTAGCTCTAAAAGACATAAAAGTATTACAGGTATTTGTGAAATTGATTAAACTAACCCTAAACGATCCGCTGCTCACTAGAAAAAACTGACCGCGATAACTGTAGAATCGTTAGAAATTATTTTATAACCAATTTTAAAAAAAATTGAATCGAGCAATTTTTTTATTTCACAATCCAAGTATGCTTTGTCCAAATTTCAGGCAAAAAGTGTGAAAGTACAAAAAGATACAGGCCAAAAAAGATACAAGAAAGTGTACCGAGTATTGATTTTAAGTGTACAGAGTATTGCAAAATAGCCCCAATTTAAGTGTACAGTGTATTGCAAAACAGACATGAGCACATTAGTATGGAAAAATCGATATTTTTGTCTATTATTTTTGTCTATGTTTACGTCTGTTTATCCGATTCCATCTTATTTTGCTGATAATGTACTGTTGATATGATATTTATTCTGCATTTCAGTGTTTATTACTGTTCTTTTTCTACGGGCAAATACAGAGATTTAATTTCCAATTTGATTGAAAGTCACACTTGGGTGAAATAAAATGTAAGTGCAGGGTCCGCAAGCAGGGTCGGGAGCAGGTAGAACCATCAAAAATCTTTTTAAATACACATGTCTCAAGAAAATGTGTTTCCTGAAAAGAAAGAGAATACAAAACAAAATTTTGATGACATTAATAATAGGTTTTTTACAGGGCAAGTTTTGCCTTTTTAAGAAACATATCGACAACACTTAGTAAAATATTTTGGCCCCGCGGGGCTTATGTCCCGTCCAAGTATGGCCGGTATCGGAGGATATTGCGAAAAATGGCTGTTTTCCATTGAATAAGCCTCCTGTTACAAGTTTTCAAACTGCTATGAAACTGTAAAAAAATGCGTTCAATACTGATCAATGCTCGGCACAAATGTTTGGCTGAAACCATAGCCTGTGGAATAGCATGCTCAATTTCAAATTTCACACCAGTTACCATGGCAACGGAGGACGTCTCAAAAATTGCAAAAAAAAAAATCTCTATTTTGCGTTGTTTTCTTTTCCCGTAAAAAACTGATTTCAAGTGCAGCAACTTCTCAATTGATTGAGATTTAAAGTTTAAGGCCCTTTTCGGCGTTGAATACACGGCATCTTTAAATCGATGCTGAGGCCAATATATTACCCCCGCCCCCCACAAGTTTCCCAAATCTCGGCGATTAGAGGGGCTACTGCCCCACTTCAAACCCCCTAACAGAAGGGGCACATCCCCCTGTGGTTACCCCTTGATGTACCTCTTTATTGGGGTTTTAGTCACTATTTTGAGGCCTCAAAAGGGTGTGGTGTGAAGCCTTCAAAACACGCCTTTATGAAGTGAAAGGTTATAAGGAACATAACCTTTTTTATTGCATTCTGCTGTCCTTAATCATAATCTTATTAAAATCCATTATTTCGGTTTTTGAGCTGTACATACGGTAACTCGTTGCTAATGACGTAACAATTTTCCACGTGCAGAACGGTCTGCCGTTGCTAGAGTGCAGGTGCAAAATGAACCGAAAATTTACCTTTATATGGATTTTTTGGCATAGTAGGAAGTGGTTTATATTTAATTTTAGATATTGGCACATGTCACGGTTCAGAACTGTTCATTATTTCGGGGGTGATAATGTGTAAGCGGCGGGATAGCTCAGTCGGTAGATCTCGAGCCGCGGTACGGTATTCCGATGGTCCGGGAATTAGTGAACAGTTTTGAACCGTGGACACACTTCCTCAATACCGTCTACTATTGACAATCTTGAGGCAGCATACATGCACTTTTGGATGCATTTTTTTTACGTACTTAAAGTAAGATATGCAATAATTATTAACAAAGTCTGGAAAGGTTGTTCCTTCGATAGCAACGAGAACCCTTTTAAACACAGAAAATTGCTGGGTACGTTTGACTGAGATTTTTCATCAGCAGAAAATCTGGATTATTTTTGCAAGATGTTTCCAGTAAAGTACCTCCGAACTCTGCCTATTCTGCACATATAGTGTAAATAAGTATTCACAATAAGATATATTTAAGATTAAATGTGGTAAACACTCTGTGTTTACTACTTGTATTTACTCGATATTAATAACCAATTACTCGTTACACTAAAGCAATACTCGTGACACCGGCGGGCAACTTCCAACGCAATACTCGGTACACTGACAGGTGTATTTATCCTCAAAATGCACTGTCATTCTGAGGTTCTATTGTTGATTGAACATTTAAAAACTATATACATTATCATCATTAACACATTTCACTCGATTCAAGTTTTTCTTTTAAGGAAGTATATGCAGAAAAACATCAAATTTAACTGATCCGAGCTCATTTATCACGTGAGCAAAGAGACAAATTATACCTCCTTATTACATTTCAAAGCTTATTTCTCAACATTTTTTGGGGGTTTCAGTAACTAGAGAAATTATCGAAGTATTTGTTTTGCTATAAAATTTATATCAAACCAATTCAAAATGACTTAATATCGTCAATGAACTTACCTTCTTTCCTTGTTCAAAGTCGCGAAATGGGATGAAAGTCCTCATTATATCGAGCAATATCCGGGGTACGGTATACCGCAGTGCCCATATGACCCAGCAACAAGAACAAGGAAAGGCGGCGTTCAATGAACGCAACCCCCATATGAAAGTAGCGTAGTAATCAGTTAGTGTTCATCTGTGTTGTTCTATAGAATTTAGAAACTTTGACAGGAGCGATTGCGGCCGGAGAATGTTTCTTATTTCCGTAGAACAGCTACGGATGAATACTAACATACTTAGTGTCAAGCTTTATTTGGCTACATTAATATTTACTTTCTTTCGTCACTATACTTGTCTATTTTACGAACACGGTTCTATTAAGCACTATGAAAAATAGAAGTCTATGTAGTGTCCAAATTTATTTCTCACCCAATGAAAGTGCTGTATTTCTTAAAAGAATATGTGCGTTCATTTTCACTGAAGAACAAAAGACGATACTTTATTGAATTCCGTTCATAGTCGATTATAATTCATAGAACAGAATGGTGACGTAATAAAGTGCCAAAAAAGCTTGACACTTAGTATGTTAGTATTCGTCCGTAGCTGTTCTACAGAAATTAAAACATCCTTCTGTCGCTATCGCTCCCTTCAAAATCTATAATTTCTATAGAACAGTACGGATGAGCACTAACATATACATAGCTATTTGAAATTTGCGATCAAGTTTCACTTTTGACGAAACTTTAAGATCACCAAAGGTGGAAAAGTTGCTCTATATTCGACTATGATATGCAAGAAAACATATCACTTGTGATTACCTATGGGATTTTAATATCCATCCCACTGGCACCTGCACAAGGGCTTAAGTTAGCAAGCATCGTAACAGCCAATTGCGAAAGAGCCCTCGGATCGGATATTTCTATCCGATACAAAAACACATGACAGATATTATGCAAACACTAAATAATATCCAGTTTCTTTATTTGGTTCTAAACATCCTCTTATGTCTGGTAACTGGAAACATAACTTTTCTCTTATATAGAAAATCAATTAAGCAGACAAAATGCGCCGTACGTTATCATTGTTATTTTGTGCGCCATACGTTATCATTTCCGGAAAATGCCCCGATTTTATATATTTTCAGCGGTTATTCTAGCCAGAATGGGCATGAATGCTTAGATGCCGACATATTACAACTTTTTAATGTCAGTGATTTCAGTTAATATACATTATATGTAAACTAAATAGTGAATTTTAGAGAAGAAGCCGTACGTTACCACTATCAAACCGGTGGAAAATTCTCTCGCTTCGAATCTGGGGACGCGTATTTCAGAAGAAGTCAGAAGAAGTACGGGACGAAACACCATGAAATAAATTGTGGAGAAGGTTGTTATATGTAACTTTACACATGAACATCACGAATTTCAGAGAAAAAAGGGAAAATCCTACTTTTTGGCCGCATCCGCCATCTTGTTTGTTTTGGTAACGAACGGCGTGATTCCTCCCCGTGACGGTGCAAAAAAAAATCGCAAATTTATCACTTTTATTTGCTGATTGACAGCGTTATTTAACTGCGTCTGTTAAATTTATGCAATGTATATCTTTATATAACGTTCATCAAAGACCTCCTTGAGATATTGTTATACGATCTAGCAATTATATTGTTCTCTAAATCACGGCGCACATTCACACAACAATCTGGAAACAAAGTGATCCCTCGGAAGCATTTATAACAACAACATTAGGCCTACATAAGATTTGCAGACTCGGTTTAATTGGGTGGATATGACGGATAATGAATAAGTGCAACATCCCTCAGGCCGCTATTCCATTTATACGTGATCAGTGGTCCGCGTCCGTCATCCGCATCCGTTACCGATTCGCTAATCAAAGAATACGTTGAATCTATTCCTTTTGTCCGTTTACCATCCGCTTCCGCGACGGCATCCGCGACGTTTCGCAGGATGAGCGATTTTTTACGGACGCGGACAGTCACTGACATGTCTCATCCCTACAAAATGCCTCGAACGAAATTAAATACTTTATCAATTTCGAAAGAAAATACTAAAGAAGTCACCAAAATAGTGTAGGAGAACATACAAGTTTATGATGCAGCAATGACAGATTAAAAAAAACAACATCTGGTCATCGGTTGCTAAAGAGATGTTATTTGAAAACCTAACTGATATTCAATTTTTGTTACCTAATTCTTTGATGTTACAACTGTTTTTGGTATTAGAATGAAATTATATCATATTCTACAAATAATTATCCTCTGTTCGCTATACTTCAATTAAAAGTATATAGAAAATAACGTACCTATGGAATAATACCCACGGACATGCCTGGACACGGATCACTGACGCGGACCACTGATCACGTATAAATGGAATAACGGCCTCACTCATCCTAGCATCGACTTGAGCGGTACTCAATTCTCAACACTTAATAGTGCTGGCATCCCCGAAGGACTAGAAAAAATATAACAACACTGAAGTGAAAAATATGATAAACAAGATCGACAAGGAAAGGCGGCATTCAATGAACGCAGCCCCCATCCGACCAGGGCAACTTTTTACAGCTGCCACACGGCACTTGACACCTGCTGTCTTATGATAAAATTAAATTTCTTTGACTTCAATGTCCTTTATATGGACCTCAAATTGATATGGAAATGAATAATTATATCATCTCTAAATTATGAAAATCCTGCAAGGGGGCCGAATTTTTACTGATTTATCCTTAACTTCTTATAATCTTATTCACATTGTAAAACTTTGAATTTAGTTTTCCATAATATTATATGTTCACGCATTGTTCAATCGAACGTTGTCAAAAATCAATTTTCTGGCGTTTCAAGTGAAGAATTTCTTTTCCTGCACCGCAAACATAATAATAGTATTATAGTCAACATAAGTGTCAACAAGCAAATCCAGTATTCCGACATATTGTGAAAAAAATACCAAATCACTACGCCGTCAAACGAATGCCAAGATGCCCCGTGAAGATTGTCAAGGTAATATGAATCGTTGCTTGTAATGTAAAAGTCGTTCTTTTGCGGGTAATTTAAATATCTGCCCCAAAAGAATGTCGGTCCTGTAAATATAAAATCGAATCATCCTTGTCAATGCTAAGTACTGCAATTAACCTTTTAAATTAATCTGTCAATCAGTTAATTTATTAAGTATGACGGTCATAAAAAATCGAAAACAACTGATTATAATAACAAGGAGATAACATATAATTGAAATTTGGTTAAAAAAATAAGATATTTATCACAAATAGCCAGAAATTACAACCAAAAGTAAACACAAAAACAATGATACAATATAATAAAGGCTTTGACCTACCTGTCGAAAACATCGTCGATATATATGGAAGAAAGTACCACTGCTGGTTTGAATGACGTAATGAGTTTATGACGTCATTTAGAAATGGGTGGTGTTTGCTAATTCCAAAAAAATCGTTTGAAATACCAACAGGTCCCGTTGTATGAACAATGACATTAGCATCCTTTCTATTGGCTTCTGTCACCAACTTGTCAAAGCTTTAACAAACAAATTTAAGTGTTAACGTTAAAAATTTTACTCAGATAATGTCTGTCACTAAACGAATGTTGATAGTACATCAGCTGATTAGTTATATTTTTCTTTTATTATCCTAAACAATAAGAGACACCAATATGTATAGTATAACTACTTATTACAAACGCACATATGTTTCGATTTAAACACTGTTTTATTGGTTATGATTAAAAGGCATGTTTATTCGTCCTTAAAAACTTTTTCAACACAAGAATTCATTCAAGTGTACAATTAGATGGACTATAAAAATAGTGTAACCTCTTTATCTTATAACAACTTTATGTGAAAGTGTAAACACGTTTATGCATGTGCGTTCACAAAATATGCTTTAAACAATTACCGTCACAGCATCAAGTTTTTGTTACCTGCATTTCTTTGCAATATTTGTCTTGTTAAATCTTACCTTTACCGCTTTAAAGCTGCATGCCTCAGGATGAGCGACCATATTTTAAGAGAATCAAACATGTTAAAAATGTACTTCGATTGTAAGAAAAGTAAAATGATTCAAGATTCAAGCTATAATTTATATTTATGTGCACATAAGTTATATTTCTACTATGTAACTAACGCTTTAAGAGCTCTTTTGTATATTAAACTCTTTCGTGTTAACTTTGCAATTTACTTGGACATTTAAGTGCCGTTTTGAAATACGTAAATAACAATCTTTGTTCACTTCATAATAGTTTACTTTTAGATACATACATTTTCAAACTTTCATGAAAATTTGAATAAATCTGGAGGCATGCTGCTTTAAGACTTCATTACCAACTCTACAAAGTTCATATATTCTTGTTTACAAACAATTATACGTTCGACCCATTGTTAAACATACCTTTAAAATCTCAGTGATACATTATTAGTGTTTAAAGTATTACTTAATACTTTAATTTAAGACTTGCGTTTATTTCTAACAGTATTACTTAATATATTTTAAATTTTGCGTTTAATAGATGCAAGTATTACTTTAACAGAACGATTGTGCATTTAGGCTAATTTTAGAATTCTCTTTTATTAAACAAGGTTTCGTAATTTGTTTACTTTGTAATCCACATATGCAAATTGGGTTGAAATTTAATTCCTTGAAAACAGATTAATGTTTAATATTTTCTATCTGCTATCTTTATTTTCCAAACATATAATGAATGATATAATTAGCATTAACTTATAACATAATTTCAAACTATTGCAAACAACAGTTTATAAATGGTCATATAACATGTCAGAAATATTTATAACGAATTTATGATACAGCAAGCATCATATTTTTAGAAAAAAGGTAAGGTTTCTTCATAAATCGGCAGCAGCCGTGTATATTATTAGTTATAAAGATTGTTGATAGGTTATATGGCCCTTTATAAACGGCTGTTTGTAAATATAACCAGAACAGCTAGGCGAGGATAATATTGCAAACAGCCGTTTATATACAGCCATATAACCTATCAACAATCTTTATAACAAATTTGTAATACAGAAAACTTCATTTTTAGAGAAAAAGTAATTTTTTCATGCATCGACAACAGCCGTGTATATAAAACTATATAAACGTCACGATTATACAATGAAAAGCGACGTTACAAACGTGCAGTATAATAAAGTTTTTTATTACATGCTTTTCGGTGGTTTATAGAAATATATCAGTGAAATAAAACTGGTATTTTCACTGTTTGAAACAGTGAAATTACCACTTTGATAATTTCACTGTTTTGAATTTAAGCCCCTTACGTTGTTTCAGTGAAATACGAGCGTGCACAGTACTGGGTACCAACTTAATGACGTGACGTCATAAATGACGTCACGTTGTATTATTATTTGGCGCGCTTTTCATTCAGTATTAGGTTTAATGTCTTTTTAAAACGTTTCTTTGCATATAATAAAAAGAAAATTTGTTTAGTTAAGTGTAAGATCGAAATATATTTCACCTTGTGAACACCAACAGTTCATATTTCACTCGTGGCTGCGCCACTCGTGAAATATACCTTTTGGTGCTCACTCGGTGAAATATATTTCGATCTTACACTAAACTAAACATATATATACAAAGCTGTTGTCGATTAATAAAGAAATCTCTCTTTATTCCTCTAAAAATTATTCTTGCTGTATTATAAATTCGTTATAAATATTTCTGACCGGATATATGGCCGTATAAAAACGGTTGTTTGCAATGTATCCCACGCCTAGCGGCTCGGGTTATATTAACAAACAACCGTTTATATAGGGCCATATTACCTGTCAAAAATATTTATAACTAATAATATTAATGTCACGATTATCCAATTAATAGCGAGATTACAACTGTAAAGTAGTATAAAGTTTTTTTTATAATACTGCACGTTTGTAACGTCACTTTTCATTGGATAATCGTGACTTTAATATATACGGCTGCTGTCAATTACCTAAGAAATCTCACTTTTTTCTTAAAAGGGAAGTGTTCTGTATTATGAATCCGTTATCAATATTCCTGAAAGGTAATATGGCTTTATATAAACGGTTGTTTGCAATATAAGCCTCGCCTAGCAGCTTGGGTTATATTTTCAAACAGCCGTTTACATACCTGTCAAAATGTTTATAACTAATAATATACAAGACTGCTTTCAACTTGTAAAGAAATCTTTAGTTTTTCTGTAAAAACGGAAGTGTGCTGTATCACGAATTCGTTATAAAGATTTCTGACAAGTTATATGGCCGTATATAAACTGTTATTTGTAATATAAGCCTCGCCTAACGACTGAGGTAATATATGCAAACAGCCGTTTATAAAGGAACATATAACATGTCCGGAATCTTTATTACTATTATCAAAGACTTATGCTTAGGTCTAAATTAAGAGTTTTTTAAGCTGATAAGCGTCATTTTGACCGATGACTCAAGCGAGGTCGGTATTACTTTTATCAGGTCTGAAATATAACTCTTTAAAACGTCTAAAGATTTTGTATAGTGTATACCACTTCGTTGTTAAACAATCTATTTGAAGGCAACACGTATTTTTAAGATACCTGTATAAATAACTTATATATTGATGCGTTAATACATTATATTCTTATTTATAGTAATTTGATAAGCGCATACCTGCGGTTTACTAATAATACCCAAATTAATTATTACACATTGAAACCAGCGTTTACCTATTATTTGTATCTCTTGTTTCATGAATTTAAACCTACGTACAATATATAACCGGTACAAATACCTATATATTAATACCAGCGTTTACATAATTATTATAACTATATTTATTACTTCACTTACGTACGCCTACGTTTACATATAATAACTATTTAGATAACTATTACACAATATATTCATATCTATTACTTCTTTTACGTACTTTTACCAGCATTTACATATAATAACGATATCATTTACAATATATTGTTACCTGCGTTTACATATTAAATCCATATCAATATACCATCCACCAAAATGGAACAACACAAGGTATTTGGCAGCATCTACTCGTTTAACCCAATGGTCATAGCTGTCATATAACTGCTTCACATCCGGGTAGTTATTTTCTATAAACTCGTCGACCATTGTTTTATTCCAGAGTGTATATAAATATGATGGATTGCGTCTCCTGCAAGACTCTGGTCCTTTTGTAAACTTTTCCTGGATTGATGAATTCGATACTTTGAAAAACACTTGATGAATTCGTTTCGGTATATCTTTATGTGTATAACTTGCAATGGGCGTGTCGTTCCTGTTTGTACAAAGAATGAACTCACGAGCAAGGTATGCAATTGTCCTCAGGGGTACACATACAAAAAGTACTAAAATGACAAGATAAAAAATGCGTTTGAAAAACGTCCTTTCTTTATTGTTTGACATAAGGAAAATAGTCATGTTTTATGATTTACTTGTAGTCCATTTAAAACACTGCTCTAGGAAGCATTTTATATCACTTACTTGATAATTTTGTAGCACATAAATCAAGTAAACAACACTTGTACATTTAGCTTGTGATGATAAAACCTGTCATGCGTTTATTTTCTATTTATAAATTAGTAAAAATATATGAAGCTGCATTGTAAAAACAAGTAGTGCTTTCTTATCAAGCAAATATCGGAAGTCAGGGTTTATTTTAAAAGAAATTCTTACAAGGTATTGTTAAAGAGAAACAAATGAATCATTATGTAGGACAATGTAGGACAAAACGATCTTAAATGAAAACAAGTTAATCTTTATGTAAAGATTGGATGAATCATGAAGTAAGACCAGACAAAATATGAAACAAATCATCGCAGAAAATCTTAATTAAATAAATCTTAAAGTGAAACGAGTAATCCATCAAGTGAAACAAGAATTATCTTTAATAAAACTATTAGCTGTGACGTGGAAATTTTCTCTTTTCATTATTTTTATATGATACACTTACATCTTGATTAAAACGGTTTATGGACCAAAAATGATATGCATCAATTGGTTTATACATTACACTGACTTTTGCTAATATACTGTTGATAATGTAGGGTAGAGAGTAAATTGTATGTTACATGTCATGTCACTGTTTAAATATTGACTTTTTGTCGTATTTTTTTGTGTGTGTTATATAACTTTGACTTTATATTGTATTCAATATTGTAAAATAATTTGTATTTATTTTGTTTTATTGTTAATTTCATATTTCATATGTAAAGTACTGAATTTTATTTTTTGATTCATTGTAATATTTTTTTCTCTCTCTTTTTTAGCAGTAGTAGTAGAAGTGGTAGTAGTGGTGGTAGTGGTTGTGGTAGTGGTGGTGGTAGTGGTTGTGGTGGTAGTGGTAGAAGTGGGTAGTAGTAGTAGTAGTAGTAGTAGTAGTAGTAGTAGTAGTAGTAGTAGGTAGTAGTAGTTGTAGTGGTAATAGTAGTAGACGTGGTTGTGGTAGTGTGTTCTTGGCCTACAGCTTTTACCACAAAATGAATACAAAAGCAATAATATGTGACTTGAGTTTGCCATTGTGTGTTTTACAGCAAATATACGTATTTTTATCAAACAATTACGAATTTCAGGCAACAAATAATCATAATTAAATGCCCATTTATGTTTGCATGTCTGTAGGTAAAGAAGACGTCGATGCCATATCAGCTGCATGTATTAAAGGTTATGTTCAGTTTGATAGTGAATAGTGAAACATCACGGATACCAGCTTTAAACTGCTAACAGAACTTTATTTATGGCTCACTGATATGTCAAGTAATATTATCTTATGTTACTTGGAAGAAAATACAACATACAATTGTATGAGATGTACGAAATATATCTGTCGTATAACATAAACGTTAAGAAAAAACGCAAAAACTGGCAAAACTGAAAAATGTTGCAGGCTCGGTTTGATCTACCTTGTTCTGGGAAGGAAGTGGTAAATGTAAGATACGTCTACTCTCAGTAGCAATAATCCACATTTAAAAAGTGTAATGGTAAAATTTTGAATTTAAATAAACATATTGCCATATCTTTAGAATAATTAATCTTCTTAGGTTTTCGCACTAAACTTTATATTGTATGAGAAATAACATAAAAAAGATAGAACCATGTTAACAGAACGCAGTTGTCTTAAATTGTCCAGAGATTTAAGAAAGCGACAATGTATCACTAAAACAACATAATTTATGTCTGAAAAAATAAAACTTGAATATATATAAAGATTATGTCTGTGATTAAAGAGAAAAAATAAGAATATTTCTGGCCTATTTAAAAGTAAAAAATAATTAAACCCTAGAAGTCTGAGCTTTAATCTTTATTCATTCACAGTGTAACATACGGGCATCAATCATTGTGTTGAGATATCATATTACTATGGTGGCTGATTTGTGCCATTTCGCGTTTCGCCCCGCGACCCCGCCAAGCGATAAGTCGAGAATTAACAAGTTAAAATGGCGGGGGCGCGGAGCGAAAACACGCTAATTAGCGGGGGCGCGGAGCGAAAAGTCGAGATTTAATTGTAAAACCGCGGGGCCGCGAAGCAAAATATTTATTGTTATAGGGCGCTAATAAGCGTGCTGTTGTTCGCTCAACCGCCAAATTGTTCTTAAAAACCTCGACTTTTCGCTCCGCGCCCCCGCTAATTAGCGTGTTTTCGCCCCGCGACCCCGCCGTTTTATTTCTTAAATCTCGCTCCGCGACCCCGCGGGACGAAGTTTTATTCTTAATTTTCGTCTTCCGGTTTTTAGTGGGGCATGCGCAGTTTGTTTTACACAATGTGTTAACACAGGCAAGAATGCATTCTATCTGTAACTTTGTGACATTTTAACAGGTAAAACAAAAATTCAATACAGTATAGATACCGATTAACTTTTGATTTAGAGATATTTTCTTCTATTATTCTGTGGAAGACGAAAACACGAAAATTAAGAAATAAAAACTTCGGCCCGCGTGAGCGCGGAGCGAAATTTAAGGAATTAAACGGCGGGGTCGCGGGGCGAAAACACGCTAATTAGCGGGGGCGCGGGGCGAGATTTAAGAAATAAAACTTCGCCCGGCGGGGTCGCGGAGCGAGATTTAAGAAATAAAACGGCGGGGTCGCGGGGCGAAAACACGCTTATTAGCGGGGGCGCGGGGCGAGATTTAAGAAATAAAACTTCGTCCCGCGGGGTCGCGGAGCGAGATTTAAGAAATAAAACGGCGGGGGCGCGGGGCGAAAACACGCTAATAAGCGGAGGCGCCGAACGAGGTTCAAAGAATGAATAAAACCGCGGAAGCGCGGAGCGAAAAGACGAGATTTAATTACCAAAACGGCGGGGCCGCGGAGCGAAAACACGCTTATTAGCGGGGGCGCGGAGCGAAAAGTCGAGTTTTTAAAGAATAATTTTTCGGGGGCGCGAAAAACAGCACGCTAATTAGCGCCCTATAACAATAAATATTTCGCTTCGCGGCCCCGCGGTTTTACAATAAAATCTCGACTTTTCGCCACGCGACCCCGCTAATTAGCGTGTTTTCGCTCCGCGCCACCGCCATTTTAACTTGTTAATTCTCGACTTTTCGCTTGGCGGGGTCGCGGAGCGAAAACACGAATGGCACAAATCAGCCACCATATATAACTGTTGCATATGACATAATTTATTCCTTTTTAATCATTAGTTCATTTATTTGCTGGAAATAGAATTACCACGGTGATAGGGCGTTTACCACAACTTTTCCGCGCAACGTCAAAATATTATACTTCTACCCAAGACACCGTATCTTTCTGGACAAAATAGTAATGGCGGGCTAATCAAATTGTAGGAAATTGCTTATAAAATATCTTAATGTTAGACATTGCAAACTTTTTTCAACGTCTTAATTATTCCATCGAATTTTTAAAAAAAATTCATCGTTTATGTAGAACAACACAATTCGCAGAACATCACATATTTCGAAGAAATAGTGTTTACAAAAGGTCATGTCGATCTCAACATGACTTGTACTTATCACAAAAACCTTAGCTTTAACGAAGATGTGTTTTTTCTATGATCTGATGAGCCTGTATATATGTAATGGTTAAGAATAAAATAAAGTTCCACGCAAGTGGTTGTGTTTCTAGTGTAATTTTTTGGGAATATGTGATGCAAAATGTCTAACTGAGATGCAAATTAGAGCACCTCACAACACTGAATTCTAACACCGCATTTTTATTCCGTTTGGCTGATAATAACTGGCATTGATTGTTTTCTTTTGCACCACACTTTTAAAGAAACTTACATATCTAATTACAAATATGGTTTATTTGAAGGAAGACTGTTAACTTTCTCTTTTTTTAAAAAAATGTTGTTTAATGGAAGACTTGAAGGTCGAAATCCAAAATACCAGTTATCTACATGATACTGCAATGGTCTCAATAGATAAGTAAGTTGATTTTTTTATATATTTTTTCGAATTTTTTCAAATGTATAAACCCCACATGTAAATATCTCTCGTCGATCGACGTTACTGGAAAAAAAAGAGAAGAAAATAAATGCAGTGATTTAAGGACGAATAATGCGGTGTCCACATTTTACTATTGTTCAAGTTGTACGGTGCCTAGAGTATGCACGTGGAAACATGAAAATCTTACCATATATACAAAAACCAAGTTATTAAAATGGTGTAACTTGTTCAAACGATAATAATGCACATATCTTTATTGCAATTCGATGAGTCACATGAAGTAAACGTACTAGAAAGTTTTAAATTTCGCAATCAAAGCAATATTTTTCACAGTATGCCCAGACTGTTTCCAATATCTTGACTTAGATAGTGAAGCATTTTGCATGTAGTAAAGAGTAATAAGCTTCAAATTAAATGACACATTCGATGAAATGAAAAATTCGATGATTTTACATTGTGTTAGGCAAATTATCATCTGTTTTCTTGTCGTATGCAGTCTTGACATCCATTTTGTATGACAGAAAGATACTGTGTCTCGGTCAGAAGTATGGTATTTTGACGTTGCACGGGCAAGTTATGGTAAACGCCTTATCACCTTGATTACTGTTATTTCCCGCCCGTTGCAACTGTGATTAAAGAGATTCTAACAATTCTGACATAAACTGATTTCTATTTATAGTTGATATAGTACATTATGTTCTAGTTCATATATTTTGATATCATGATTCCATCTAAAGTTAATACGAATATTTAGTATGTTTTGATACGATAACGTATACATCTTAAATTAATACGAATATATTTCGTATGTTTTGATATGACTACATCTGAAGTTAATACGAAATTGTCATATGTTTTTATATGATTACATCTAGAGTTAATACGAATTTGTCATGCGTTTGGATATGGATACAGCATTCTTGAATAATAACGAATAAGTACATGTAAAACCAAAGGTCAATAGTCTGATAGCGTAGTATGTAAACACTTTACGTGAAATCACAGCACCTGAAAGAGCGCCAAAAAATTGCATTTTTCCGTAACAGAGAATATGCAATCATTAATTATGAATATATTTGAATCATAGTTTAAGGACCTGTTGAAAATGTGTCAGAGTT